TTGACCTCATGATCCACCCGTCTCGGCCTCCCAAAGTGCTGGGATTACAGGCGTGAGCCACCGCGCCCGGCCATAAAATAATTTAAAAAGAGTAGCGTGGGTTTCCAGTTATGAAGCATCCATGAGGTCAGCAAATGTACAGTGCCATGGCCGAGGGGTGGCTGCTGGCCAGGCCATCAGAGGCAGATTCTCCACTCTACCATTTATTGATGATGTGATCTTGGTGCCCTGCAGACTCAGTTTATCCGTCTGTAGAATGGGACTCTTACACCCTCTTCTGCAGAGAGTGGCTGAGAGTTATACCCAAGCTGATGTCTATGGGCAAGTGAATGAGCCTACCTGTTCCCAATGGGGCATATGTTGTGATTTCTCCAGCCTTACCCCTTGAGGTGACCTTGTTCTTCCCTGTCCTCTTTCTGTTAACCTTTGTGCCTCTACTCCCTCAGTCCCCAGAAGGCAGTGGTTCTGGGCTGAGAGGTCCTGTGGGGTCTCTGAACCTCAGCTTCCTCCTTGGTAAAAGGGGTGACGACACCCACCACTGGGGTGGGGGACGAGAAGAGAGAATGCGACAGGAGCAGCGCAGTGGTCATACCAGGTTCTCCACCGTGCGCAGGTAGCGAGTGCAGTGGCTGTGGCCGTTGAAGTCCGACAGGTCGGCGGCCGTGTACCCGTCGCGGTCGCGGACGTCCAGCTCCGCGCCGTTCACTACCAGGATCTGGCAGCACTGTGGGGGCATGCAGTGAGGACCCGGCCGCGGCCGCGAACCGAGAATCCCGCGCCCGGGCCGGGTCTTGCAGAGAGCGCAGTGCCGGCAGAGGGCGCGCGCCCCCACCCCGGGCCCGCGCTGACCTCCAGCTCCCCGTTCTCGGCGGCGTCGTGCAGCGGGGTCCCGCCCCACAGGTCGGCCGAGATCTCCCCGCCGTGCAGCAGCAGCCAGCTGAGCACCTTGGTGTGGCCGCGGCTCGCCGCGAAGTGCATGGCGGTGGCGCCGTCTTTGTCCTGCTCGGACAGGCTCACGTCGGTGCAGCTCACCTGCGCGGGAGGGGCGGGGAGAGAGGGGCGGGGGCTGGGCACCAGGCCCCGCCCCACCCCTGCTGGCCCCGCCCCGTCACCATCCCCGCCTTCGCCCCGCCCTCTCCACGCCCCGCCCTGCCGGCTCCGCCCCGCCCGGGCCCGGAGCTCACCAGCCACACGATGACCGGGCTGTGGCCCATCTGCGCCGCGGCGTGCAGCGGGGTCATGCCATCGTGGGCGCGCGCGTGCGGGTCCGCGCCACACTCCTGCACCAGGTACTGCGTCACCTCCAGGTGGCCCTCCTGGCACGCCAGGTACAGGGGCGTGGCACCGTTCTTGGTTTGGGCTTTCACTCCCCTGTGGAGACACAGCGCCCACGGTGGGCTCTCAGCGCCTCACCCCCTCAGAGGCCTCCTTACGCCCCAGGGCGTCCTCTCCCAGGGAGCCCTGGACCGCACGGAGAGTGGGTGGGAGAGGGCCCTGTCACCCGCCCGCTGGCGTCCTGGGAGGTGCCTCTGGGCTGAGTCCTGTGCCACCCTCCCTGAGAGACCCCTGAGGGCGTCCGACGGAGCACTGCCCTGCCTCAGTCCTACTTTTTAATCGAGGTCTACAAGGATGTGGTGTGCCGGCCTCTCCTCCAGCACTCTCATCCACTGTCACTGTGAGTCCCCACACCTGCTGTCTAACCTCTATCCCTTTCATAGTGACCCCCCTCCAGCTGGATTGCCCTTCCATCCTCCTCCCTCTTGAAGACTCAGTACCCATCCGTCCTCCATGAGGGCCACCCTGATTTATTTCCCCCTTCCTGGCCTCTGCCCCACACTGCCCAGGGCCGCTGTGTGCATGGCCTGTCATGCTTGGTTGACCATAACTGATTTTGACCTTTGCCTCCCCCAGAAGACTGAGTTCCCTGAGGGCAGGGTGGTAAGGTTTGCCAGACAAAATACAGTTCACCCAGTTCAATCTGAATTTCAGATAAACAAATAATGCTTTACTATTCTATATCCCAAACAATGCATGGGACATACTTGTACTAAAATACAGCTCGCTGTCTGAGATTGCTAGTCCAACATCCTGGGTTTTGTTGTTGCCGTTTTTATTAATCTGGCAGCCTTTGGGATGTCCACCATGTACTGCACGCTTCTACTGTGCTAGCAGGCAGGTTCTTCTTTTTTTATTTTTTTGAGACAGAGTCTTGCTCTGTCACCCAGGCTGGAGTGCAATGGAGTGATCTTGGCTCACTGCAACCTCCACCTCCCGGGTTCAAGCCATTCTTCTGCCTCAGCCTCCCAAGTATCTGGGACTACAGGAGTGTGCCACCACACCCAGCTAATTTTTGTATTTTTAGTAGAAACTCAGTTTTGCCATGTTGGCCAGTCTGGTCTGCAATTCCTGACCTCAAGTGATCCACCTGCTTTGGCCTCCCAGAGTGTTGGGATTACAGGGGTGAGCCAGTGCACCTGGCCCAGGTTCTTCTCAAGTCCTATTGTCATTCTCATTTTGTGGAGGGGAAATTGGAGCTAGCAAGCTGTCTTGCCATGGTAAAGTACCCAGTGAATGCCATATTGTCAACTATTTTTTTTTTTTTCTTTCTGTCTTTC